TTGGTGTCATATCCTCAGGTAACACTGACCCACAACCCTGAAACTGTCGATTGGATGGACATTTTGAAAAGGGTCTATTTTTTTAAAATCTTCTTCATTAAACTTGAAGAGAAAAAAGAACACAAAAAATGTTCAGGGAGAAAAGAAGAAGTTTCAGCAAAGATATGACTGAGAGCGAACGATATGATAAGATTTAGTGCCACAGCCCCAGACTGCAGAGTGTGACGGTGAATGCTGACCATGCACCTGTACTATCTCTTCTGGTTTTCAAAGGGAAACCCCATCACCGCTCTACCCGTCACCCTATTGAACTGTTCCTCTCCTCCACCCACTAACTGTGCAATGTGCTGTCCCTCACCATTTTTTATGTCTGCAGAAATATAATCAATGCCTGCGGGTGGCCTGCATCAGCAGCACTTTGAAATCTAGAGCTGTACAGAAATAATGGATGTTATTCATTTGATATGTGATTTGATTACTGGGCAGGTTTTCATTGGCACTTTGTCACTTCAGAATTTGAGAGTTCCGCACTAAAGGCTGAAGTAATAAACCAGTGATGAAATGGAAATATTAGAAACTAATGATGTAAAATAATGATATAAACAAATAAACAATGATAATAATCTGTTAACATACAAAGTAAATAACAAGAATGACGCTCAACAGAGCTCATACTTGTACCAAGGCCCAGTCCCCTTTTCATTCACTCATAGAAATTACCTAAATATGTCAGATTGTTGTTTTATTCTCTCCTGAACAAGTGGAGCAAATAACTATGTTTAAAAATGTTGCTGAAGTGTTAAAGTCCATGATATATCAGTTGAGACAGTGTATAAAAATGTCCCATGAAACAGCTTAGCAGGTAAACTGATCTTATCTCTCTTACTTGGAGACTATATACAGTAAATGTCCAACGCTCGGTGGTGCCGCTCGTCTCACCGAATTTGAGGAAATAAACATAAACATAAGTGTCACTGTAACATGCTTGTACAGTTGGTTTTTTCCTGGCCGTCTGTATCTCTCACCATTCTCCACCTGTTATCTTGTTTGCTCCCTGCGTCGGACGGGCACCGTGCCTGCTTGTCTGGGGAACCCTGGCTTCCCTCTGTCTGCAAGTGCACCATGAGACGGCCCTGGAGAATATACAAAGGTGTCTGCTTTCAGGCGCTATCTGTGCCTCTTGCTGTAAATCTCCGCTGCGTTACACGCCTCTATTTGCACACACACCAGTGTGTTTGTTTGTGTATCTGTCTGTCGGTTTATGTCCAATTGTCTCTCCCTCTCCCTTTGACCCCAAGCATCCACATTGACAAGATGCTTCAGCCGCCAAGTCCAAACATGGTTTGACTGTAACGCTACACCCGCCAAGTTGATGGGGCATCAAATGATTTTCATCCACACATCTTAGCCGAGGAGTAACCTTATGGTCAAGTTGGTGATACCCAGCACCTCGTGGTTTTCACTCAGAGCTGTCTACCTGTCTTTGCTCCATCAAACACGCTCATGTGAGATTAACAAATTACCAGGCCTGCGTTGTGGTTGGCTCACAATGAAGCATCAGTTCCACATGCTTCAAATCCTCAAAGCTGTCTCTATTAATAAAAGGATGAGTTAAGCCCTGGGGTTTGTGTGGTCTATAAAGTCAGCTTTTCACATGGTTAAATTGGAAGTGATTCACACAGTGTGACTGTTGGAAGGGCACAGCTCTGTAGTTGCTAATTTACTTCCCAGAGAACTATTAAAAGTCTAAGTGCCCCAACATTCAGGGCAGAATTGGCTGCTCCGACCATGTGTCGACAAAGTGCTGGCTGAGACCCATGTGTTTGTCTGCTCCACCGGCCACTTTGGCAGGTTACCAGATGCCATCTCTGCAGAGTTAAAATACCCGATAAAATATCTAACTTTCATGTATATATATAACTTTCAGAATCACTTCAGTCGGGGTTTAAGAAAACTGTGGTTCTTTTGCCCCACAATTCGACAATATCTGTGTATGTCGTCTGCTTCAATACCAAATTCATGGCTTTCCACAAATTATTTGAAAATTGCTTCACAGCTCACCAAAATCTAGATTACTGGATAGGAATTCCTATAATAACAACAATAATGATAATAATTAGATAATAATTAAAGATGCCCTGAAAATTCCTGGTCGGGCATTAGGAAGCAAACAAATCCACAAATCTATGAACCGATCCGATACTTCATCTTTAGTTTCACCCAGATAAAACGGCAAATTTGTTTTCCTGAAATAATTTCTTCTTTGTCGCTCCAAAAGAACAGTTGCGCTGTACTCCAACATACTGTTTTTAGAGCTGTGAAGAAGAAATGATTACCTTTAGTGCAGTGTTTAGCCAGAACAACAGTTTTACAATATTTTGTGCTGGAAGTGCACATAACAGCCATTTAAGCAACTGTTGTTTATTCCAAGATTTATTTATATTTTAAGGGGTCAGACAGCAATGATAGAAACCATCACTTCCATACAGGGTTAGTACAGCTGCTAATATAAGTCATAGAAGTTGTTTTTTTTTTTAAATGTACTGGTATCACTAAAAAAATTGATTAAATAATAACTAAGATTTGAGATGTCTCTTTAGAGCCTGAATCCTCTCAGGGACAGTGATGAAGCAAAGTGAGTCTTCCATGTGTGTAGCTGGGGCTGGTACACCGTGATGTGGAAGGCTCTGACTGCCGTATTGCGCCGGGGCATTTATCGTCTATGGCTGTCATCCGATCGCACATCTTGTCTCGTAGCAATGAGTCACTGGGTTACTTCACTCGTCTGCTTTTAGACACCAGCTCGGTCCTCTCTCCTTAATGGGGACTGCAGCACTGTCCTCAAAACAGAGCCCATTTCAACGTTAATGCAGTGATGTGGGGATTTAGATACATTTTAATCTGAAGTCCACCTTGATCAACAAAGATCTGTATCATATTAGTGCATTTAGTTATTGATTAGAAGCTTTGCTATAAAGTGTTGTGAATTGAAGTTATTGTTTTTCTCCAGGGAGCCTTGAGAACTTTAGATTGAGATTTCTATTAAGTGTTGCCTCTGAGATTCACGTGTTTTTTTTCAAAGTCATATTTTCCTGGTCTCTGTGGTTTTAGCTGCAGAGTGAGTGGGGTTGCTGGTGTCTGCAGTGGAGGAGAGAGGGCACATTGCTCCACTTTCTGGAGTGTGAAGCAGGCAGCGAGAGGACAGGACAGAGGAGACATTTCTAGGCTGAGGAGAGATAGATGATAGCCCCGCTGAAGGAAGAGAAGAGAGGACACACTTCAACCAAAGAAACATAAGAGGCCTCTGGGTTTAAGGTCACCGATCTGCACAACTTTCCATTTCCCTGCTATGTGCCATAAACATAGACATGGAAACCTCTGCGCTGCCCTCGGGCTGAGTTTAAAGTGTCTGCCTATTATCTTAAACACAAGTTCCGACACAACCGTCCTGCACCCCCCCCCCCCCAGAATCACTGGGGGAAAAATAGCCAGCGGGTCAAGACGGACTGATTCACAAAGAGGGGAGAAAGTTAGGATCCTGTCCAGAGCTGTGCAGAGGAATATCCGGCAGGTTAAGTGATTGGTTCACTTGGATAATGACGGAGAAGAAGGAACAGCTGAGAATGTAGAGTGTCAGGTGTGGGTTTCACAGGGGAGGGGGGTGTTTATTGCTGTATTTACACTGGTCTCTGGAGGGTCGGGCATTGATGAGGACTAACAAATTACTGTCTGTTAGCATTCTGCTGCTGAAATGGACTTGTTATGTATCTATTGTGACTCCTTTTCCACTCTCCATTTAAAAGACTATTTGTGGTATTGACAGTTTTTGCTTCTTCGTAGATTGTTTTAAATCTCAGTGAGTTTGAATTCATCCCGTTTGGTCTAACCCTTACCTCCACCAAGTACGTTATGTTTCACCCCGTTCTGCTTGTTTGGTTACACAATAACTGCCACACTTGGAGGTATCATGCTGCAGGGAATAACCCGTTCAGTTTTGGTGTGAATCTGGATCAGACTGGAGATCCAGGAATCGTGTTTCCCTGTCTTTAACATTGTGAGAGAACATTTTTCACAGTTCTTCCAGGGAATAATTCATGGACCTAGATGCATACAAAAATCTTATAAACATATGTAGGGGACAGCTATCTATGAGAGTGTGACCTTTGGTGCAGTTTGATTGAGTTTAAGGGGACTGATGGGACTGCACTTTACTGAGTGACATTCTAGTTTGTATTACTTAATGATTCCGTTTTTACATTTGATTTATTGTTAGGTGTCTATATGTATTATTCAGATTATTCCATTGCTTAACTTTTAAGTGTTGTCATGTTTACATATGATGGATGTATGGTGTCGTTGGATGCTTAGTAAGGCACCATCATTATTATTATTTCATAATACTTTGCAGGCAGCTATTGGTTTTCATTCATTTAGTCATAAACAATAGTTAGAAGGCTCTGTCTTAATTTTTTCTCAATAATATTATGTGGCAGTTAAGTTTAATTTATAATTGGTTTGAAATGTTGTCATTGTTTTATGTCACATGTGTTGTAAATTAATGCATATTTAATGTTGAATGGAATAGAATATTTAAAACAAATTTGCTAAAAAATACTGTCAGCAGCGATGCAAATAGATATATAACATACAAAATCATAGCTATTTGTCTTAACGTGTGATCATGTGTTTGCACGTAAACACATTGAAGTTGTGTTTTATACTAAAAAATGGGCTGTGGGGAGGTTTTCTTGCTCTCACAAACGATGTCAGTTTTGTACATAACAAATGTCAAGTCAAGCCAGTTTTATTTGGTGTTTTAAAAATGTTTTTGCTACAACATGAAAAAGCAGAAATAACAAGGTCAACCTGCAGAAAAAACATGATCTGAGAGAAGCAATTGTGTGGTTTGAAGCCTAAACTGGTCGTGTGAGCCTCAAATAATGTGTAAGCAAAAGTCTGAATAAATAGTTGTTAAGTCTCTGTTTTTGTGTTGGGTGCAGGATGACCAGGTTGTTCTGCAGTGCACTGCCTCCGTCCTGAAGGAGCAGCAGATTAAACTATGTCTGTCCTGCGAGGGCTTCGGGAACCGTCTCTGCTTCCTGGAAACCACATCCAATGCTCAGGTAGAAAGCTGGTCCCCTTCCTCCCTTCTTTTTGCTTTGCACGTAATCTTATTTTGAGTTACCTTATTTAACCTCTGCGTGCTGTGTAAATGTTTGCAGAAAGTGCCCCCGGACCTGGCCATATGTACCTTCATTCTGGAGCAGTCCCTGTCGGTGCGGGCTCTGCAGGAGATGCTGGCCAACACGGTGGAGATGACTGAGGTAGGAGTCAAACAGAAAAGAATGAGTGATAGCTGGAGGAATCAATGCAAAGGTGATGGAGGCTTAAGTTAGAGGTTACTTAAGTCACTTTAGAGGATGATGTCTTATAGATAGATAGATAGATAGATTACTTTGTTCATCCCCAAAGGAAAATTAGGTCGTCATAGCAGTCTGGTATTTGGATACAATAAAAATACAATAGAATAAGATACTGAGGAAAAATAAATAAAATTAAAAACACAGAATTGGACAAGGACACTTAAAAAACACAAGATAAATAGGTAGATAAGGTGCACTGGCAAGATGATGGTAATAGTACTGATGATATGATGGTAATGTTATTGTTACTAAACAGTATATAATAATAGTACAGTATATATAGTATATAAT